TCAACCCATTGCCTCCCATGCACCCCAGTCCCGGGACCAGGGATCAAACCTGCAACCCATGTACGTGCCTTGACCGGGAATCAAACCACAACCTACCTTTCGGTGTGGGACGATGCTCCTGCCACCTGAGCCACACCAGCTAGGGCTCTAGAGGCTATTTTTGATGCTTTCAGTCACTGTCCCTCTTGGTTTCTGAGAGACCAGAGGTGACAGCCATTCCCTCCCCTTCTCTGTGCCGGGGCTTCCTCTTCCCTGATGCTGACACTTTGGAGGGCCCAGGCCTGACTCAGGACTTGGTCTTCTTGTTTGTTCTCTCTTCCCTTGCTCCCTAAGGGAGCTCACCTAGACTCTTAGGTCCCTGGGAAACAGGCTCTGAGCCAGAGACTTGCATGCGGCAGGTTCACTGGACATGAGGGAGGGATGCGGAGGGAGAAGTGGAACTGTGATGCTCTTGTGGCAAAGGTTTCAGCTGAGAGAGAGAGAGAGAGAGAGAGAGAGAGAGAGAGAGAGAGAGAGAGAGAGAGAGAGACTATTGATGTGAGAGATCTGGGATCTGGGGAGTGGCCCGCACTGTGCTTTGCAGGAATCAGCTCATGGAATTCTCAGAAAGCCCTTGAGGAGGAGGTTCTGTCACTGTCCCCATGTTTCAGGGGCAGAGGTTGAGGCTGAGTGAAGTTAGTCAAACCCAGGCTGGCTGCCTGCCAGAATCTGAGGCTCACTTCTGCTTTGTAGAGTTTCTAAAAGGCATGTGGAGTCAACTCTTGGGCCAGGTCCCTCGGAGGCCCTGCCAGGGTCTGCAGCCCTGTCACTTGCTACCCTCACCACTGACACCCCAGAATGCACACAGAGGCCCACCCACCCCCCTACTGAGGAGAGGGAACACATCCCTCCCAGGGTCTGGGGTGGGGGCCGAAGGCCCCACAAGCTGTGGGGGTCTCTTGTTTTGTTTAAAGATATATGAGAAGTTTGCCTGCCTCTTGTTTAATAGAAACATAATGTCCTGCTCTCTAATCTTTGAACAAGAGGAAGATGCAAAGTGATTATCTCATATCTGTGCCTTTCCCTGATGGATTACCTGATATCATCGGCTGTGGAGATCATTATTCTTTCTTATTTATTTATTATATACTTTTATTGATTTTTTACAGACGGGAAGGGAGAGGGATAGAGAGTTAGAAACATCGATGAGAGAGAAACATCGATCAGCTGCCTCCTGCACATTCCCTACTGGGAATGTACCACAACCAAGGTACATGCCCTTGACTGGAATCGAACCTAGAACCCTTGAATTCGCAAGCCGATGCTCTCTGCACTGAGCTATACTGGTTAAGGCCATTATTTTTTCTTCATTTTTGGCCATCTGATAGATGAAAATGGCATCTTCCTTTATTTTCATTTCCTACTTATCAATTGTTTGGTATATTCTTTGGCAGTTTGCATCTCCTCTTATTGAGTTGTCTATATCTTTTGCCCATTTATTATTTGGATTGTTTGTCTTTTTCATATCATTTTGAGGGAGACCTAGCATATTCTAGGGATTAATTTTTTTTTTTGTCTCAAACAACAGAGTTTTAATTTGTATAGTTCTAGAAGCTGGAAGTCCCAAGATCATGGTGTTGGCAAAGTAAGGAATTAACCTTTTATTTGTCAAACATGGTATAAATATTGAGGTATTAAATGATATATCATTTGTCTTTTAAATTTTTAATAGTATTTCTGCCATAGGAAAATTCTTAATTTTTGGATAATCCAGTCTACTTTTTTCTTTTTCTTTCTTTCTTTCTTTTTTTTTTTTTTTTTTTTAATAATATATTTTTTACAGAGAGGAAGAGAGAGGAATAGAGCTAGAAACATTGATGAGAGAGAGTCACCGATCAGCTGCCTCTTGCACACCCCTTACTGAGTATGTGCTCACAACCAAGGTACATTCCCATTGACCAGAATCGAACGTGGGACCTTTCAGTCTGCAGGCCGACACTCTATCCACTGAGCCAAACCAGTCTCGGCTATTTTTTTTCTTAATAGCTATGTACTTTCTACCCTCTTTAAGGGTCTTCCTCACTGGTTATTCTGCTAAGGTTCATTATAATATTTTTATTGATTTTTATATTTATATTTTAAATTACTTTGGGATTTACTTTAGTATCTGTCATGAAGTGAGAGCCTAATTTTGCTTTATTCCATATAAATAGCCAGTTATGCCAACACTATTTATGCCAAACTACCTTTTTCACACCAAATTAGAATGCCAATTTATCATACACTGTGTTCTTGTATGCATTATTTCTAGATTATATTCTGTCCCACTGATCCATTTGTCTTATGTTCAGCCAGGACCATATTTTTGGTATAGTGACTTTAAAGTTCATATTGTTGTTGCTGGTTTAGAAAACTTATCAAGACAAAAATTTTTTTTCAAGTTACAAAAATATTTACATATCAAAAATAAAGTCTAGTTCATAGAAGAGTAGTTCTAGCCATTTAAAAATTACACAGCATTTGGAAAAACCAGTTCATACACAAGTCTTAAGACATTTAATTCCTAAATAGTATACAACCGCTCAAGTTACTTATTGCCAATTATGTGCAGCTTTCTGGGACTGGTCTCCACAAAGGAAGGCCAGTGCTTGGCACTCTGACTGTGGCTGTTAAAGCTGTGGTTTTTAAAAAGCCAATCCAAAATCAGAGTCAGTTCATTTTTAATAAAGTATAAGTTTTGATTTAATACTATAAGTAGGAGTGGTTTAAATTCCAATTATACCACTTCTCCTATTAAATTCTGTTTTGTTAATATATCAGAAATGTAATGTGTTGTTTTGGGGGAAAGTAAATGAATTACTGTTTTTCAGATATAGTGGTAAGAAATTACTTGTATGCATGCATATAAGCATAGGCAATGGACACAGACAGTAGGGCGGTGAGGGCATGTGCTGGGGGGTGGGAGTGGCCTGGAGAGAGATCAGTGGCGGGGGGGAAGAGGAGACATGTGTAATACTTTAAACAATAAAGAATTTAAGTTTAAAAAATGATAAAAATAAAAGTAATATTATAAAAAAAAGAAATATTAACTTTGAGCTGCAATGTACCAAGTTGGTACTTGTAGCTTAAAAACAGTAAAACAACAAATTCAAGAATGAAAATACATTTAAAGTTTAACCAAAAACCAAAACTATATTTCTTTCTCTTTAGATGTTGAAACATAAAATGAATCAATTTGTTCTTTTGAAGTTTATGGGCTAGGGAAGATCTACTGCTCTCTGGTTTTCTGTTAAAAAGACAAAGCCTTAACCACATAACTAGACCATGTTTTAAAGCAAATCTGTTTGCTCACAATGTCAATTAAAAGAACAAATCATAAAATTAAATAATTTCTAAGTTAATGAGTAAATAAGATAATGTAGTTCACAGTGTAAAACACAGGAAGGGAATCACTTACTTTGAGGCTACCCTCAAAGTAAGGGGAGACTTTTGGCCTGAAGTTCACACGGAAGACTTAGAAGTTAAGGGTATCCCTCCGTGGCTGGTTTGCTCAGTGGTTAGAGCTTTGGCCTGCAGACAGAAGGGTTGCAGGTTCAATTCCCTGGTCAAGGGAACATATCTCAGCTGCAGGCTTAATCCCAGCAGGTTTGATCTCCAGCTCCGGTGTGGGCTCAATCCCCAAGAGGCAGCCGATCAATGATTCTCTCTCATTATTGATGTTTCTCTCTCTCCCCTCCCCCCTTTCTCTCCATTCTTCTCTGAAATAAATAAAAACATTTTTAAAAAAAATGTCATTAGTAAAATGTATATAGGGCATGTAAAAAAACTAGCACTAAAGCTCTTAAGGGCAAGAGCCCAAACTAGCAGCTGCTAGGAATTAAAACCACAATGGAATGAATTAATTAATTCACATAAACTGTATTGCTGAAACTACTGGACCAAAGGAGAATGGACTTTTGCCCCCTTTAGCTACTTTTAAATATATATATATATATATATATATATATATATATATATATATATATATATATTGATTTTTTTACAGAGAGGAAAGGAGAGGGATAGAGAGTCAGAAATATCGATGATAGAGAATCATCGATCAGCTGCCTCTTGCACACCCCCTACTGGGGATGTGCCCGCAACCCAGGTACATGCCCTTGACCGGAATCGAACCTGGGACCTTTCAGTCCGCAGGCTGACGCTCTATCCACTGAGCCAAACCGGTTTCGGCCCCGTTAGCTACTTTTGCCTACTCTTGAAAACAGCAGAAGTCCCTTTCAGTCTTCCACACAGTGTTGTCGGGAGCAGTCCTAGCAGTCAGCAGGAGGTTCTGATTGAAGAAGGGCTGTCTGTTTCCATCAAGCCTCACAGCTCCACTGGTCACAACAAGAACTCTATACTCTAGGCCGGGGTAGCTTGCTCATGAACTGGTTGGCAATCTAACATATTAATCTGGAATTCAGCAGAAGGTCACACCTCAAAAAAATCAGTTCAGGCTTCCAGCCCTGTAACATTTCCATTCCATATTAAAGTGGTCCTGTCTAGATACAGCCGGGTCAGTGCCATCTTCTTTGGTCCATTATCTCATAGTAAATATTGACCAATTTCTCAGCAGCTCTGCAGGCCTGGACTGCATAAGTTTTAGAATCCACAGCCATGGCCATCGGGAAGCCCAAAGCAGCCTGAGGAGGAGGAGGTGGTGTCACTGTTTCCTCATGTGTCCGACTCCCTTGCTTGGAGGTCTGGCTTGTGGCTCCTCAGAATATAGGTCACGGTCACTCCTTCCTTAATACCCTGCTGTCTCCCTGACTCGAGACTTTTCCAGATCTTCTCATACTTTTAACCTTTTTTTCTTTACACCCCATGGCTATCTTTCCTATTGCCTAATACCTCTCTCCAAGTACATTCTCTGCTCCCGAACTCGGGTCTTCTAAGAGTTTTATTTTTTTTTTTAATATTTTTATTAATTTTTAGAGAGAGAAGATGAGAAAGGGAGAGAGCAATAAAACCATTGATGAGAGGGAAAGTCATAGATTGGCTGCCTTCTGCACAGTCCCCATTGGGGATCAAGCTCGCAACCTGGGCATGTGCCCTGACCGGGAATCGAACCTGCGACCTCCAGGTTCCTGGGTCGATGCTCAAATGTTGAGCCACACAAATCAGGCTTCTAAGAGTTTTAATAATTGGCAAAGCAAGTCTCTTCCGTTGTTTTTTGCTTTCTTTTTGGGGTTGGGGAGCAGAGGGACTAGAGAGAGGCAGGGCTCTTTTCTGATGTTTGTTCTTCCACATGAACTTTTAAAATCTTTTTGTTAAGCTGAAAGCAAAGAGAGAAAAAACAAGAGTTGTTTCCACCAGAATGGCATCCCTGTTAATCTTCCAGGAGTTTGAAAGCCACCGTGCCTGCCACTGTTCAAAGGCTCTCTTAGGCACCCACTGGCCTTGTGATCCTGTGAGTACTGAGTGGAAAAAGACAAAGGCAGCGTTGGCCTGAGCTTAGAACTTTCCCTATGCAGAATACTGTGGTGGTTTCCCCTTGGAAAACAAATGCAAATACATATTTGTAATAGATGTTATTGGGGTGACATTGGTTTGCAAAACCATTCAGGTTTCAAGTGTACAACTCAGTTAAACATCATCTGCACACTGCATCGTGCACCCATTGCCTGAAGCAAAGTCTAAATCATATTATGTTCATATAGTTTGGCGATTATGTGTTGGTTTAAAATGTAAAATGGATCAGAGACAAATTTGTGTTGGTTAACATGCTGCAAAAAACACCCTGTACTAGTATATGCCTCTTTGGGTATGTAGGTAAGCTGTTTGTCTGTTTATTTGTTTGTTTGTAAGAGATACCAAGAGGTAGAGATGCTGGACAGGAGGGCATGCACATTTAATGTTCTACTAGCTACTGCCAAATTGCTAAGCCCTCCATGAGGCCATCCTCCCAGTTACTCAGCCGTCTCCCTCACCTTGCCAATTGGCCCCTGCATGGTTCTCAGGCAGTATACATGTGGTTGGTTCATGGTACAGATGTTTGAGAGAGCTATTAAAGGGAGTGGACAGCCAGCTTGGAGTTGGCACAATACTCCTGTATCCCACCCCAACTCCCCCTCCCTGCCCCATTCAGCCATCTCAAGGCATCATACAAAGTAAGGATTTTCCTTCTGGTTCTTTTTCCTGTTTGTAGAATCCTCCCAACTCTAATGCTTTTCAGTAGTACTCTGTGTGCAAGAAATTCTTCCTAAAAAAACAACAACAAGAATAAATAAATAAATTCTTCTTAGTATCATTTTCTCTTACACGCATGCGCGCGCGCGCACACACACACACACACACACACACACACACACACTGCTTCAGAAGTGCTTGCTGTGTGGCAGTGCCCTGGAAATGCTGAGCTAGATTCTATCCCTGGCTTTGTCCCTTTTTTCAAAATCTATATTTAATCAGTTTGGTCCTAAAGGGAATTAGCCAAGTCAGGGCTCCAGTGAGTGCCAAGGCTTGGGATTGCACCAGGGGTTCTAAACCTGGAGCCCAACAGTGGACCTCAGGGAGTGTGTGAACCTCCTCAACTGCCTACAGCAGCATGTGGGTTTATGGATGCTGCTTTTAGCGGGGTCTCAGAGTAGATGTGTGACCACTGTTCACTACCACAGGTTCAGAACCACTACCACAGGAACAGAGTAAGTAGCTACTTCAAAAGCAGGCAAAGTAAAGAAATGGCATTCTAGAATCTACGGAGGGGATCTTAACAAGAGATACTAGGGGCAACTGTATACAAACTTTTGTGTGAATACACCTGAGACAAGGACACAGAGATTGCATTAGATCTCCGTAGAGTTCTTAGCTTCCAGATTTAAGAATCATAGATATGAAGGCTTAATGATGTTAAGGTATTAATGTCATTTGAGAGGGAATATTTGGAATAGTAATTATTTTCCAAATGTAAATGCATTTAGTTCATAGCAGAAAATCTGAAAAGTTCTTCTGGAAATCTTCTAAAATTCATCTACAATCCCAACATCCAGAAATAATGACTATTTTTATTAAGTTTTTTTTTTTTTTCCAGAATGTCTGGTATCTGCCTGTCTCATTCTCTCTCTCTATACGTGTGTACATGCAAATCTAGAATTATACTTATTTTTAACGGATTTTTATCTACATATTATTTTATGAGCACTGTCTCTTATTGTTATGTCCTAAAACTCTTTTTTACTGTTTTATGTGATTTCAACCAAACCTTATGTAGAAGAATAACATATAAAATAGATGAAAGATGAGAAGTTCTAGCCAGAGTAGAGGGAGAGAAGAAACACAGTTTGAAAGCCACTGCCTTCAAAGCGTGAGGTTTTCTTGTTTGGTTTTTCTGCAAAAAGCTTCATTGTTTCGTTTGGTCCAATGCATGGGAGAGGGCTTCAGGGTTAAAAGAATGGCCAGTAGTTTCGGGAAGAGGCTCAGGCAAAAGGCCTCTGGGCTCCAAAGGCTCCTAGTCGCGCCTGGTGAGCCTTTTGAAGAGATACTCGAGCAGAGTGGAGGCCGGCAGCCTGCGGGTGTTAGTCACGTGGTGGCCCATCTTCTCCATGAGTTTCACCTCCTCATCCAGGAAGCGGTTCTCCAGGAAGTCACAGAGCGGAGGGCCTGCGTGGTAGAACCCAGGGCCTGCAGCTCCAAGGGGCCTGGTTCAGGTGCCTCCCCAAGGCCAGGGCGGCTGCCATGGCGGCCTGAGTTTCACCCCCTCGGCTTGGGGAGCCTTCAGCACGTCCTGGAAGAGAATGCGGCCACTGTGCTCGTTTTGCCACTTTAAGAGATGCTCGGTGCCCTCACGCTGCTTCTCCGCCAACTTGCCTCGCCAAAGAAGTGGTTCATGCCCTCGAGAGCCACATGGTCCAGGTCAAAATAGAAGTCCAGAGAGAGGTAGGTGTATGGGGCCTGCAAATGCAGGTTGGCCAGGCAGTCTTTTGGGAGCTCGTGGTTGTTTGTCAATAAGGAGTTAAGGTAGGAAAAATAAAATGGCATGTTGGCTGGTCTTGGCAGTGGTTCTGAAGGTGGTGACTGGATAAGACGCAGGAGAGTGGCCGAAAGCTGGAAGGAGGGCATCCCTTCTTGGGTCTTTTCCGTCCAAACGCTGTGGAAGGAAGAGACAGATCCAAGATCGCAAGGACACTGCCTCGAAACATGTTTAATGGCTGTATTCTGTTATGGGATGTGTAGGGTGACCAAATTTAGCAAATAAAAATATAAGATGTCCAGGTAAAATAGAATTTCAGATAAACAATGGATAATTTTTTTTAGTGCAACTATCTTCCAATGTGAATTTTAGATAAGCAATTAACAGGTGTTACTTAGAATAAGTATATCCCATGCAGTATTTGGCACATAGTTATCCTAAAAAAAATTTATTTGTTCTTTATCTGAAATTCTAATTTAACTGGGTAGCCTCTATTTAACATGGCCACCTTATGATGTGCCATAGTTTATCTAACCAAGCTTCCATTGCCGGACATGTAGATTGTTTCCAATGTTTTACTGGCATAAAAAATATGGAGTAGTATATCTTTGCACCCCATCTTCATATACTTACCTATAATAATAAAAGTGTAATATGCTAATTAGACCAGATGTCCTTTTGAATGACCTTCCAGATGAAGCCGGGGCTGTGAGGGCTGAGGCAACGGCTGCAGTTGCCTTGGGCCAAGGCAAGCCACGTGGCTGTGAGCACCAAGCCCCTTGCACAAATTTCGTGCACCCAGCCTCTAATTATTTTATAATATCCTAGAATTATAATGGCTAGAGCAAAGGTTGTAAACACCTTAAAGGCTTTTGATTTATTTGCCAATTTGTTTTCCATAAAGGAACATACTCCCAAGAGCTGTGTATATGAGTGCCTGTTTTGGGAGGGGTCAAATATGCATCAATTCATTACCAGTGGTTTATGTTGGCTTGGCTTGCTGCCTTGGTGAGTCTCTGGGATATTAAGCTTCAAGGCTGGCAAGTTTGATGGGCGGGGTTCATGGTGCCCAAAAGGGGCAGGTTATCCCAACACTATCAGGGTGCTTGGGGTCAAGGGTCAGGGCTGATAAGACAGGGTAGAAGTGTGTGGGACGGTCAAAGGAGAAGATCTCACGAAGAAGTAGAAATAAGCTGTAAAGAGGCAGGCTCCCTATCAGGCATTCTTTTTAGTAAGCAGCCTGTGTTCCACAAAGACGACTGTTCCAAGGAGGGGAGAGGCTAGAGAGGAAACGTCTCAAAGGGCTTCTTTTTCCCACTTAAAAAAATAAAAGTGACACAAACATCGTAATAACTGAAAGGATGGAAAATCACCCGTAATCTCCCCATCCTAACAAATCGCTGTTTCTATTTTTCGGTGTGCCTTTCTTGTCACAGTCCATAATTTTTACATATCTGCAATCACAGAGCATATGCAATTTTCATCCTGCTCTTTCCTCCCGTTATTGAGCAAGCATTTTTCTGTGCTGCTACAGGGCTTGCATTGCTACTGTGGTTAACGTTATTTTTTCTTCTTGATTTCACGAGTAATAATTATTCATTAAGACAAATCAGAACATATAGATAGACAAAAATGGAATCACAATGCACATAGTCATCTGTAGCCTGCCTTTTTTCACTGAACTGTGGATGGCAAACATCTTTCTTTGTTTAACAGAATACATGTCTATGTCTTTTTAAGTAGTTGCGATGTGTTCTGTGGAAGGGGTGTACCATAATTCATTGACCTGATTTCCTATTACTGGAAATCTAAGGGTTTTTTTTTTCCTCTACAATCTTTTGCTGCTGCAAATGGAACCCATTTTTAATCATTTCCTTAGGACAGGTTTCTAAAATCGAATCATAGGTACACATCTTTTTCAGACTCTTGATACATACTCGCAAAATTTCCTCTGGAAGATTTATACCCAGTTATGCTCCCTGTAAGAATGCATAAGAGTGTACTTATTTCCCCACAGCCTATATCAATTATTGTAAATGGTTGCCATATATTCTTTTCAGTTCACAGAACATAATTTACTTATTTATTTTCCTACTCTTGACATTTCGATTTTCACATTTCCAGTCTTATAAATAAGACTGTCACAAACATCTTTATGCCTAACAATTGTCTATAATTGTCTATAATTAAAATAGGAACCCTAAAGGAGTGACATATTTACACGTCACAACCTTTCCAAAGGTTAAATTTAATTCTTCTAGGTATATGGGAGAATTAGGGCCCAGCTGGCAGCCTACCATGGCTAAGGGAAGATAAAGGACAGAATAAAACAGAAAAGGCCGTGGGCCAAAAAATGTAGCGCTAGAAATGTACTGCCAGACTGTTTTCCAAAAGGGTAGTAATTTAATAACCATTCTCGTGGCTTAAAAACAATTTAATGTAATATTCAAAGATATTAGTCAAGGAAGAAAACCACTATCCACCATTAACCCACAATAATGCCATTCCCACAAAGGACTCTTTAATCACAATGAAACATCCATTTCTGTCCCTCCCACATCCAGCATGCCCATCTGCCTCGCTTAGGCACTTGGCAGGAGCCGCCAGTGGGGCTCCCAGGTTACCCTGCTTTCTGCAGCTCCCCATGCTAGAGATCCTTCGTATTCTTACCTCCTGTGCGAACCCCAAGACCGCAGAGGGGCCAAGTACCATTTTTATGACAATCAGAGCTGCTGACCTCTCCCTTCAGTTCCTGGGGAACCAGGGTCTCTGGAGCACAATGTACACACCCTCTTGAGGGGACACTGCTGAGCACCTACTGTCTGTCAAGCACACTGGTAGGTCCCATAGGACCGAGGGCTCACAGGTCCTCAATGATCTGCAGTGAATGGGCACTGAAGACGGATGGAGTGAGTGGATGTTGTTGCAGATCACTTAATGTTTAAGGTGGAAGATCCTTCAGAGATCATCCAGTTCCCTTTTTTATGTTTTCAGGTTTTTCCCTGATTATTCGCTCATAGTCAAACTCTTCCAGTGGAACCCCAACAGGGTTGTTATTTGATCAGGATTGCACTGAGTTTGTAGATGCAGTCAGGGAGGACATATCTTTATGTCACTGAGAATATATGAAGAACATGTATATAATAAGTGGTTTGTCTAGATTATCCTACAAACATGACACGGTCATTGTGTTGTTGCTCATTGACAGTTATGGTTCAGTGCCCTGTGCAAAAACCACAGTGAGTGTGGTACCTAACTCCACATCTCCACTGGTCCCAGCACGTGCACCTGTGATACACCGTGATTAGGTGACTTGTGTCTCTGATTTCTCATGGAATAAAACTGCATCTTTAGTACATCCCAGAAGTAATCAAAAGGCTCCATCCATTAAAATATTAGTATTATTCCTGCCTCGAGACTTTATGACCAGTTTTTGTACTGTACCTAAATAAAATGCTGGGCCTCAGGGGGAGGTGCCAATCCAGGGGCATGGTCCCTCTTGAAGGACACGTTGTACCTGCTCCAGAGGTGGCCCTCAAAGAAAACCACTCATAAGGCAGGCTGCTGCTATTTCTCAATTCCACTACCCTCCTCCTCTTTCTTTTTTGCTTAATCTGATTTTAAAAGTCAGCCTCTGTTATGCTTTCTCCTATTGGTAGGTAGAATCTGTTTAATTATTAGTCATGAACCATAGGATATGTACTTCTACAATTGACCCATAATACCAATAATGTACTACATTAGCTACTATTCTTCTGGGAAAGAAGGAGAGAGAGATAGAAACATCAATAATGAGAGAGAATCATTGATCGGCTGCCTCCTGCACTCCCCATACTGGTGACTGAGCCCGCAACCCAGGCATGTGTCCTGATCTGGAATCGAACCTGTGACTCCTGGTTCATAGGTAGTCGTTCAACCCCTGAGCCTCACCGGCCAGGCTCAACTACTATTCTTTGTTCTAAAAAGCGTTATAAACTGAGATGCCTAGCCCATGATCAGGGTCTTGCTGAATTCTAATGGGTTGGGTTTGATCCTGGCCCAGCCGGTCCCAACCTCCGTGGGTGAGGCAGGAGGCTGTTGCCACCCATGAGATAATCATACTGTATGTGTTCTCTGTGTTATAAGGCCCATTCTTCTTTTTATTTTTCCAGTTAGTATCTGGCAGGTTCAAGTTCAGTCGACTCTGAAATGAAACACCTGAAGTGCCATGCTAGCGTATAGACATTGACCTATTACACTTGCGTGATGGGAGCAGAACGGGTGGTGGCCTGCACCATGTGTTGGCCAGGAGGGTGTTTTGGGGCCCAGGGAGCCTTGGGGTTACCCTGCCTCTGCAGTTTATGCCACTGGTTTTCTTTCTCGCAGCTGCAGGGCATGGCAATGTAGTTTGGGGGGGTTGGTGCCTCCAAACAGGCAGGAACCTAAACAGGCATCGACTTTGCCTTCCCCTTTTGCTGTGATTGCAACAGAAGTCATCAGGACCCTGAGGGCGTCCCTGGCTGGGAAGACCAAGGAGGGCCGGGGCTGACCCAAGGAAATGCGGTTGTTTGCTTTTGGGTCTGAGTAATATAAACGCTTGTACTTTTCACTTTTTCCATAGCGCGCCCCCCCCCCCCCCCCCCCCAGCCATAAGCAGAGAAGTTTCCATGCCCGTGTCAGGCCAGGAGATGACAGCACTGGCAAGTCCCCTCTGAGCCATGAACTGATGCTCTGACCACGAGCCCAGGAGGGAGACAGCCTACAGACTGCACTTGTCAGGACCCGGTTGTGTTCTGGGCACCAGTGTCCAGCTTCCTTTGGAGCCAAGGGACCCAGAATCGGAAGGGAGGTGCCAGCACATCTGGGTCCAGGAGTCGTTTGAGGCACACAGAGGAAGCTTTGTGCTTAGGCCCTGCAGCCAGACAGCCTCACTTCTAGTCCCAGCCCAGCCCCTCGGCAGCGGTGTGTCCTTAGGCACGTTGCGTTACCTCTCCGGGCCTCAGTTTTCACCCCCTGGAAAATGAGAATAAGAGCATCTCTTTGGCAGGGCTGTTGGGAGTTAGAAAGAAGCTCCTAGCGAAGCCCCAGCTCATAGCAGATTCTCAGCAAGCAGTCAGCACCGGCTCATTTCTGTGGAAAAGGCCCAAGTCTTCATCATGCTCTGCAGAGGTGTGGTTGGGAGGGGAAGGCAAGGTTCAGGTATCCTTCACAGACTGAGGAATGCTCCACTCCAGCTGGGTAAACTGATAAACGGGGAGAACCTGAGCTGTCACACCATACATTCCCTAGGGTGAACCACTCTTACGTCCCTCTGTCCCCAGGTGTTCTCTGGGGTGGGAAGGACATAGGAAATGAGACCCGGAGAGCTTATTTCCACCTGGATCCTGGATCTGAGCAGAGACCATCTGGAGTGGTGGGCCTCATGCCTGTCCCAGGCTTGAACAGAGGACGGTGTTTGGCTGAGATCCCTAAGGGAATGGGCAGTGTAGTCCTTCTGGTGTCATAAACTGGGGCGTCATCGGTGCTCCTGGAACAGGTCGTGTGGGAAATGGAACCGGAGCCCCCGGTGAGCTTCCAGCAGCCCCTACCCTGCGCTGTGGAGAATGTAACTGAACCAGAGCTCCCTGGGCCTGTGGGCATGGCTGGTGCAAGGTGGTGGTTTCCATGGCAGCCATGGAAACTAGCTGAGTTGCAGTCAGCTCTGCTAAGGGTGTAGCTCCAGGTCAGCACAAATAGAGGCCAAGCAGCAGACTCACGGTGAGAGTCCTTGGGAAGGGGACCAGGGGAGATGGGCTCGAAGGACCCTCCTGGTCCTTGGTCCTGTGATCTCACCAGCCCATGCCTAGCAGCAGCTCAGCCTTGGTAACGCACTGGAGCCTCCTGGAGAGCCGTAAGAACTCCTGGAGCATGTGTCCCACCTCCAGAGATTCTGATTTCATCGTTCCTGTGAAAGGCATGGGCATCAGGATTTTTTTTAAAAATCTTTCCAAACGATTCTAACGTGCAGCCAAGGCTGAGAACCACTGGCAAAAAGGCAGGCGAGCTAACAATAAAATTACGATTTATGTGCCGGATACTGTGCCAAGCACATTGTCTGCATTCTCTTCTTTAATCCTCCCACGAATCCCCATTTTTCCAGGTGAAGGAGCCTGCTCAGAAAGGGTAAGAGCAGTGAGCGCTGGCGTTCTCTTCCAGGGCTGTCAGATTTCAAAGCCCAGGCTGGTAATCCCTACAACAGCCGTGGAGGGATGTGACGTGAAAGATGGGGACATGTCTGGGCAGGCCCTACGTGAGTTTCCCCTGCCCCCTAACTGATGTTCCCGGCCCTGTGCCACCCCCGTGTGTGGATGGGAGGAACCCTGGCAGGCCAAGAGGGATTGGCTACTTCCCCAGAACCCAGTGACTCCTGGGGAGGCCCTGGGGGACCTGCCTTTCATTTGGGAAAGGTGGAACCTGAGACGGTGTGCTCAGAGAGATGGTGAATCACGATTCCCTGCCATTCCCAGCTCTCGGAATGAATGGCAGTCTTTCAACTTCGGACGTAGCATCAGATGAGATTTTTGTTCCCAGAGGAGTGGTAGGGAATCACATTTTGTTCTCCAGGTGTTTTGGGTTTAGAGCAGACCCGGGGGGGAAAAAAGTCAGGAGGCATCCATAAAACAGGACCAGAGCCTTTATATTCGCAGTTCCATTGAAACCCAGCGAAAGGCAAACCCAGCAGGTACCCGTTTTACTGGCAGTAAAAGGAAATTGAACAGCAGTTATTTAAAAGGAGTCTGAGTTATTTAAATCTAAAATTTAGGGGTGCATATATATGTCTTAAAAGGAAGTTTACAAGGCCTGGGGATTTGGGTTGAACAGCTTTTTATGAACATGACATGGAAAATATTGTCCTTTCTTATTTTAAACCTTCCCCTTGGCCGTTAGTTTTCTAAATTTAGAAGTCAGGAAGAAATATGCAGATCTAGCTAGAAAGAAAAAGTGAAGCAAGTCAGACATGTTTCAAAGTTTAATTGAAGTGACGGACCGAAAAGAAGGCTCTGCAAGAAGAGAAATAATTCTTCTCACTTTATAGAGCAGAGTCATTATTTCAGCTTAAACAACTTCAGATGTGACTGACCTTCTTGGACGTGGAAGGGCTGGACTTGGCACTTTCCGAAAGAGCAAAGACTGGAGGGGAGGCAGCTGCTTAAATGTCAACCAAGGCTGCTTAGCGAAAGGCTGGAGGGCTGTGGGAGGTTCATCAGGCTGTCACTCATCGTCTCCCCACCCTTGTTCCTGGCATGGCAAATCAAGAGCCTCTTTTTTTTTCTTTTCTTTTTTTTAAATATATTTTATTGATTTTTTACAGAGGAAGGGAAAGTGATAGAGAGTTAGAAACATCGATAAGAGAGAAGTACATAGATCAGCTGCCTCCTGCACACCCCCCACCGGGGATGTGCCCACAACCAAGGTACATGCCCTTGACCAGAATCGAACCCGGGACTTTTATGTGCCGAAGCTCTATCCACTGAGCCAAACCGGTTTCGGCAAGAGCCTCTTTAGTCGTGGTCCCTATGGAAACCAGCCACCTTCCCCCGCCCCAAAGCCTGACCACAGACCTGCTGGCTGGGAATGCCCCACCCATCTCCCGGCTCAAGTCACTGGGCCAGATGCCAGAGACCAGCCTGGTATCTTGGAATGAAAGGCTGCCACCTACACCATGTCATTGTGACTAATGGCTCATTTTGTTTCTTTCTTTTTGATAATGGCTTTCTATTCATTGAAAGGACTAAGGACTGAAATCTCTGAACTTTTTGTCATTAGAGAAGAACATTCAACTCACACTATTGATATTAGAAAACGACATTAATTATTACTAGACCTAATAGTTTAAGGGGGGAAAAAATAGAGCCGTGCTGGCATGGCTCTGTGGTTGACCATCTATGTACCAGGAGGTCATGGTTCAATTCCTTGGTTAGGGCACATGCCTGATAGGGGACATGCAGGAGGCAGCTGATGAATGATTCTCATCATTGATGTTTCTATGTCTCTCTCCCTCTCCCTTCCTCTCTGAAATCAATAAAAATATTTTTTAAAAGGATACATACATACATACATAATAGTAGATTAAAAAAAAAAATCAAAGTAGTCCCAGTTGGTTTGACTCAATGGATAGAGCGTTGGCCTTGGAATGAAGGGTCCCAGGTTCAATTCCAGTCAAGGGCACATGCCCAGGTTGTGGGCTCCATCCCTAGTAGGAGGCGTGCAGAAGGCAGCCAATCAATGATTCTCTCTCATCATTGATGTTTCTATTTCTCTTACTCTCCCTTCCTCTCTGAAATCAATAAAAATAGATTTTTTTAAAAGACATATGTAAATTTGGAATGGGTATGACTAACTCCAAGCAATATCATTAGAGCTCTTTCTTTCCATCTCTTGGCTCTGATTTTTCTCTGATTTTTTTAATGTGTTTTTATTGAGTTTAGAGAGAGAGAAAGGAAGAGGGATAGAGAGATAGAAACATCGGTCAGCCGCCTCCTGCACACCGTTTACTGGGGATCGAGCCTGCAACTCGGACACATGCCCTGGCCAAGAATGGAACCAGTGGCCTCTTGGTTCATGGGTTGACACTCAATCACTGAGTCACACCAGCTGAGCTATTTTTTTTTAATTGACATATAACAATATATAAGTTTCAGGTGTTCAACATAATAATTTGATATTTATACAGGATGTCCCCAGAAATGTATACACACTTTGAATAATTATTAATTCCACTAAGTTAAATCTGAAAAGAAAGAAACATCAACTGAGCTATCAGCTATTAAAGTGTGTATGCGGTTTTTGGGGACACCCTGAACATTATTGCATAACGATCACCACAATAAGTCTAATTAACATCCATCACCACACATAGATACAGATGGTTTTTTTGTGATGAGAATTTTAATATCTACTCTCTTAGCAACTTTCCCACATACACTACAGTAAGTCCCCGTGCTGTACATTACATAGACAAGCTTTCTTCACGTGATTGGCAAGAAGACGCTCACCTGTCAGACTCAGCAGTGCTGATAAAAAGATCGCACCTTGCCGAAATCGGTTTGGCTCAGTGGTAGAGCGTTGGTCTGCGGACTAAAGGGTCCCAGGTTCGATTCCGGCCAGGGACATGTACCTTGGTTGCGGACACATCCCCAGTGGGGGGGGTGCAAGAGGCAGCTGGTCGTTGTTTCTCTCTCAGCGACGTTTCTAGCTCTCTATTTCTCTCCCT